TATCTTGAAATCCTATTTGACAATATCTTTCCGGCCTTTAATAAAAGATGTTTGTCTCATCAAAATACCCATAGTTTTCTAAGATCATTTTAGTAGTTGCATCTAACTTTCAGGTGTAAAGTCATGCTTTCATCGGGTAACTTAGGTAAACTTGTTACATTTTTATTGGCTTGTTTTGTTTTCTGTGTGTGATGGCTTTAGCAACTGTTTTGTGTGCCTTGATGCTTCCATGGATCTCCTTGAGCTGTTCTTCGAGATATGTGTTAGGATGTTCAGTTGCTAGTTTGTTGAGTGTAATTACCAAGTCTGGAACTGATCTTTGTATGTTTTTTGGGATCTGGAGTGGCTGATGCAGTTTTCCTTCTTTTTTATCTGTCAGATATTGTCTGACTTGTGTGAGGAATTTCTGTAGCTATATTATGAGTGGAATCTCATTTATATCTTCAACTTAATATCTTTTCCTTCGATGGGATTTCTTTTTTGTGATGAATTTTTGACTGCCTTCTAAATAGTATCGCTGAATTGATTCCATCTGTAGTTTAAAGACTGATGGCTTAAGCACCTGTTTGTATATTGTGCTCAATGTGATTACTGAACTTCTCCCATTGTTATGCTGTGGTCAGTTGCCAGTTGTACTTATGGTTGTGTTTGTGATATGTTGCCTGTTTGGGTGTATCAAGGTTTTATACTTCTATTTCTACTATCATTGTAACATGGTCACTTCAGATTGATAGTGAGGTGAGGTCTTTGATGGTGGCTGTCCCTGATTGCCATGTTGCCTGTGGGCTCATCCATATTTGATTGATCCTGTTGCTACTTCCCCCTCTGTTCCAATTATATTCTCTCTTTGTAGAATTGTATGTTCTATATATATCTTTCAAGTTATTGTCCAGAAGAATTTGTATTTGTTTTTCTGAGGGGTGATGTTTTATAGTTGTTTTTATAACACTGTGCTTGTCGATTGCTGGGTTGGGAACCCCATTCATGTCTCCTGCCACCATTAGATGCTATCCCTTTTCTGTCGCTTCTTTGATCCACTTATTGAAAGTATTGAGTACCATTTATTTCTCTCCTTCCATGTCTTGTACTGGAAAGTATACACCGATTATTCTCATTTTATCTTTGTATGGGAAGGCCAGGTCAGCTGCTATCAGTTTACCCGCAAGTGTTTTGTAGTTGTAGATTCTGTATGTGATGTCTTTGTTGATCATGATGTTTAGGCCTTGTTCGCTGGTTTGTGATTCTTTCTGGGTCCATATGGTTTGAAATTTTTTGTATTGCCAGTGTTTTGATTGTTAGTGTGAGCCATTTGTCTCTGTAGTGACTATAATGTCCCAGTCTACTGCATTGTAGAAATTAAACCATGTTTCTTATTTGTGTGTTTCTACTAAGCCTTGAATATTGAATGTTATGACTTTTCATATTGGTTTGTGTTCTCTGTATGTTGTTATAGATACCATTGTATTGAATGTTGTATTGTTTGTATTAAGATTGTTATCTAGAATTATTGCGTGATTGTCTATTCTTTCCATTTGTTGTTTTGCTGTGTTGTAAGAATTTATTGTCTGGTTGTCTTTAGAGTTGCCTAATTCTTTTGTTGATTTGGTCTTTGGTTGTTACCCACTATTGTCTATGTGGGGAGAAGGTGTGCTATCTGAGATAGAGTTGAGTACAGTATTATATATTTAATCCATGTGTTTGTCTAACTTCTACATAGATGACTAAATGCATTGTTGTTGAGTACAGATGTCTTGGATGCTGTGTTGGAGTGTTGTGTCTGTTGCTTGGTTTTCTTCTGTGTTAAGAGGAAAAGTATCTTCATTTATTTGCTTTGTGTAGTCCTCATCGTATATTTCTAAGTTGACGATGCATTCCTCTAGGTCAGCTATGTCTTGTTTTATCTCTTGAATCTCTTTCCTGATTGTTTTGAGGATATGAAGTACTTCTGACATAGCTGTTTGAGGGGACTGGGACTGTGTTCCTTTTTCTTTTGGTAGTCTTGCTGCTGCTGCGTAGGAGCCTGGCCTGGCTTTCCTTTGGTTGTTGTGTGCGATTACCCTACACTTTATAGTTTCAGTATGAGCTGGCCTAAATCTGTTGTACAGTTTGCCAAATTTATTGGCTTGTTCTGCATTGTACTGGTTCCAATGTGTCCTTCTTTTTTTGATCGGGCATTGAGTGACTAGATGTGTTGCACTTCTATGGATAGTGCATAGTTTTGTGTCAATCAGTTTCTATTCTGCTTGAGTTTCTCCAAGGAGAACGTTCTGTATTATGGCTGCTTCCAGGTCTTCTTGGCTCGTAAAACCAATAATTGCAAATCACTTGTGTATGTATGTCATGTGCCTGAGGATGTAACATATCTTAACTCCAGTTTGTTCACAAATGAGTCTGAGATTAAAGACCATGGTGTTGGGTGAAAGGTTTGTTAATTTGGCTGCTATGTTTTCACGTGCCTTCATTTAATTCATATCTTATTGTACGTCAAAAATCCTGATTAAGCCTGATCGTAGGAGAATACTCCATTTGGCAACTAGATCTTCTTTTACCTGTTTGTCTGTGTAGGTGATAACTGCAGATTGTCATATTTGTTGTGTGGACATGTCGATATTTGTAATCTCTTCAAATTTAATGAAGGTTTGTTGTACCTCTATGAATTTTGTGTCAAGGAGAATGTCCCATACTCTGATACTGTTTTCTTTATTTGATCTAGGGGATGTAAAAGCCATGTGTTCCAGATGAATCCCATCCATTTCTAGTAGAATAGTGTTGCATGCTTCTTCTGCAGTGTGGTGATCACTGAAAATGGCAATGATATGTTTATTCTCTTCTTTTCCTTTGCTGCAGATAGAAAGGAGGCCAGTGAACATATTCAAGCTCTTTGCGATGTATGTAGTCTTCTGGTTAGGGGTTCTTCCTAGAACTTCTGATGCTCTGATGCCTGTTTTGACTTTTTCTCTGCCAAATCTTGTTATTGAGTCAATTGGTGATCTTGGTCTGGGTTTGTCTCTCTACTGACTGATATATTTCTGTGCAAGACTTCGTGCCATTGCCCACTAGGTTCGGGGCTTGTCTGGTTGCTACTACCTGATTCCTTCATTTCTATGTCTGAATCATCTATTTTTGCCATTATGAGTAAAATAGAAGAGTCTTCGCTTTGTTTGGTTTCTTGAGTATTTCTATTTTTGTCACTGTTCATAGTTTGAGAGTCTTGTATGATTGTTCCTTCCACTTTATCACTCCAAGTTGGTTGTTTCTGGTTGATTTTATTTTCTCTGATGGTTTCTGTGTCAGTTGGTTGAGGTCCGGCTAATGTTCTGGTTGCTTGGTTGTTCGTTTCTAGTGTTTTTGGGTGGGTTTCTTCTCTTTTCCTTTGTTTTTTGGATTCAACTTTGTTGTCTCCATATGGGTTTCTTTGCATAGCGATCTTGTGTTACCTTTTGCCAGGATGTTCTCATTGTAGTTGGGTCTGTCCTGGGTGTATTGACTTCTTCGGTCTCTAGGAAAATTCATCTTTCCGGTCACTTTTTTTCTTGTTTCCCAAAATTGCCTAAAAAGAAAATTTTTATGAAAAAAAAATCTATGGGAAAGAGTTTTCATCAATATATTTTATATATGAATATAATTAATAAAAGCTTGTTTATATATATATATATTTTTTTTTTTAAAGTGCACAAGTCTACTTTATTAATTTTAGTGTAGTACATGTTACTTGAATTAAAGCTGACTAGAACTATTAACTCTTTTTATATATATTGTTTCTACACTAACCTATTAAAAAGCTAATTGACTTTTGGAAATGTCCCTTATCACTTATTGCTTTTAGATAGGAACTAACGTGGCTAGGCTTCATTAGCACTAATATGAAGAATATGGAAAATATTGTGTGTTCCTTTCAGAATATTGCCTATTGTATCCTGTGTGTTTGCTTGCTGTGACCTGTTAGTTGTTGTTCTTTCGTTGTTGAGTATTCTCTGTTGTTTTCTTTTCTCTTTTCTTTTGATAGATGTCTTGTTTATTCCATGTTTTTTTTTCCATTGTAGCATTCTTCTGTATCTGTCAAGCCAGATGTTGAAGGTGAGGAATTTAGTGTATTGCGTAATGCTTTTCAGGATGTCAGCTAGCTTGTCGCATCCAACTGTTTCTATGATTAGGTCATTTAAAGTTTTGTTAATTCTTCCTCTGAAGATTAGCGTGTTTAAGTTTCTGATGCTAAGCTCTACCTTACTGATTGTTATTTGAGGAGATTTTTCGTTTTTTCTATAGTGCAGTTCTCTATAGATATTTTTATTTATCTCCTCGTAGATATTTATGTTATGATGGAAGCAGGTGAATGGGTGATCATTGTGTTCTGTCTTGTCACAACTGTGGCACCTGCTTGTTTTGTATGTTTTGGGGTATCTTTTGTGAAGTTTGTCTATTGTTGGGAACTCTTTATTCTATAGTTTGATGGAGAAAATATATTATCGAGAGTCCCAGTTGTTTGTTTGTGGGTGGTGAGTTTTGTTGGGTGGAGAAGTGCGATGCTGGGTTTCCAGTCTACTCCTTTGTAATTGGCTTGGAAGGTTACGTATTTCTGTTGTGGTGTTTCCAGTCGATTGTGAGGTATACTTGATGAATCTGCTGGATTGCATTTCAGATGTTTTGAGTAATTTTTATGTTGCTGTTGAAGAAAGGTTATAGGTAGTTGGATTCTAGGCATAAGTGAAGAGTTGTGTAGCAGGTTCTTTTGTTTTTGCTTGATTCTGCCTGGTATGCCAGTTCATTAGCTCTTTTGTGAAGTGGGTTGTTGTCTTTCTTAAATGTTTTGTGCCAGATTAGCTTTTGTTGTAAGGTATTTGTTATTTTGTGAAAGTTGAGTAGCATCCTTTTTTCTTGATGTTTGATAGGTTTCTGATTAGTTGTGAGCTTGTAATAGTTCCTTATGAGGTTTTGTAAGCCAGTATGTATTCTGATTATTTTACCTTTCCCAGCTATAATGCAGGTGATGGTGGCTGCCAGGATTTCAGATCTGTATGCTGATGCCTAACCTGTGAAGGTTGCGTTGAGCTCTAGTTGTATGTTGTCTTATATGATGAAGATTATCCCTATCCCCATTCTTTGTTCTTTGTCTGTCTTGAAACTTACATTGGTATAGACTAAGATGAGTTGTTCTGTTTCTAATTTTTTTCCAATTACTTGTATCTCAGTGTATAGCTTGCTTTGAACTCTTATGATCTGTTTAAGTATTGTGATGCGCGGGGTTTTGTGGGTGATTCTTACTGAGTCCAATGTAGAGTTGGATTGTTGCCACTACTTGTTCCAGCTCTGTGGAGATATCTGTAGTTTGAGTTTGGGAGTATTATCTTTCCCTTAACTAGACTTGGTGATTTTAATTATTGGTGTTGTGATTAACGATGATGTTGGTGCTTTGATGCAGCAATTGTGGCCATGTTTATCTATATGGGTAGTAAATTGGCATCCTTTACATGCTTCAACCGGTGACTTGTTGATGAGGTTGAAGTGCCTTAGCTTGATGTTGTCTTTATTCTGGCTGACTCTTTGGCTGATTATGATATGCCCTGCTTTCTCGAAGGAGAACAAGTTTTTTGGTTTTGGTTCTTGAGACCTTGGTTGTATTGTAGTGAGTGGGTTGAGTCTTGCTTCTATAGCATCCTGAATTAGGGTTTCATCGATTCTTGCTCGGATTTATTTATACTATCCAGATTCTTTTTTTTTTTCTTGAACTATGGTTGAGACAGTCTACTTAATGCCATTGTATTGTTTTTGTTTGGAAAGTATCTAAAATTTGTTCTTGCCAAAGTATCTTGTGTTTTTCAAGGTTCTGTCAGTGTTGATTCATCCAAGTTTTATCCAAGAGGAATTCTAGGTGTTTGCCTGAGTGTGATGATGGGCTTGTCTGGATCTTTTGGAATTGTATATTTGCTTTTTGTATTGTTCTGAATCCGTCTTGCAAGAAATTGAAACTCAATTTATGGGCCTTTGGGCATTTTTCCGTGATGCTATTCATTTGCCAGGTGTCATATTGGAGTTTTTGGATCTTGAGTCTGGTGACTAGGCCAGCTGTGTTTTTTGCTGTATATAGGGCTTGGAAGTTGCTGACGAATTTTTGTTATTGTCTTATATTTAGTTCCATTATGTTATAGAGAGTAAATAAGTGTAGTATCATGTTGGGGCATGTTGTTGCTAATTTGGTTTTTCATCTGAAGTTGGTTCTTATCTTTGCATCAAGATTGTTTATGTCTTCCTTTAATAGAATGGTGTCCTGGAGTAGATATTCGATTTGAGGAAAAAGTACATGGTTTGTTATATATCTGTGCATCTTGTCTGTTAATTGTTTGCTAATTAAGATCCAGCAGATGTTGTTAACTTTTTTCTTGATGAGTTGCTGTTGGTAGCATTTTGCTCCTTTTTATTTATACCAGATACCTAAAACTCGAATGGCATTATTGTTTAGTATGGGCTGTATAAGGCTGAGATTTTTATTTACTTCAAAATAATGTTGTACATATGATGACTTTATACATAATAAATGTATTACATACTATATATACTAACTAGTCCATTAAGGAAAACTACACGACGCTCTCTTAATTTTTCCTAGAACAATTTTTTATAGAGTAATCTAGTTATCAGACCATTGCGTTTGCAGGAAATCAAGTTTTTGTTTGAAAATAAATATAAACAAGAGAAAATATTAGAAGGTATCTTTTAAAGTAAAACTTTAAATTGGTTTAAGGATAGTGTTATGCCTTTATTAACAAAAAAAAATAAAAAATTTTTTATAAATATCTTTTTTGTGTATAAATAAAGGATTAGCAGAAAGAGTTTTTGATCACTTTGGTTACTTTTCTAATAAAGTAGATCTCTATTTATTCCTAAATTTATATATATATATTAAAAAAAAACTCTTTATCACAAATTATTAATTTTATAAAAATTTTTTATGGTAATTTTCAAAGAAAAATAAAAAGTAAATGAAGAGAAAAGTTCACAAAGAGAACTAAGAAGTAGACATTTACAAACAAGACTTAACTACAACAAAAACCTTTTGATGAAAGGAAATTCAATAATTACTGCAAAGAATCCAATATAAAACTTCCAAAGAAAAATATTTTAGACAAAAGAAAAATAGTTGCTTCAGCTAAAAACAATAAAAACAAATAAGCAAATAATATCAAAAAAATGAGATACATATCAGTACAAGAAAAAGACAAGTAATTCTATAACAAATATTCAAGTACAATAAAGCAAACAAGTCAATGTAAACTTTTAACAGGATAATTAAAATATAGAAGATCTCTATACTTTGAAGAGAGAAACAAGACAAAAAACTGCAAAAGCAGTCCTTACAATGGAATTCTAAAGAAGAAATGAATAAATAGAAATGAAAAAATATTCCAAGGAAAAAAATATTGAATCATGCTTAATCACAAATACAATAGATTATAGGAGAACCAATTATTCATATAGTAGATCACAAGGAAATACCAATTCCTATTACAAATCTAGGCCAAGATCTCCTTTAATAGAAGTATCAGATATGGTAGAGAAAGAGTCAAAGTTATAATCAAAGTAGCTAAAATTCATAGAAAAACTTCTATCCAAAAGATCACATATTAACAATAAGTTTCAACTCTCTTAAAGGCTTAATGTAAATCTATAGTAAATGAAAAAATGAAGACGAACATATTACTGCCATATTTAGAAATCAATAGATAGCTGATAAAGCATGCAATACAACCTTACCAGATATTGATCAAAAATATCTTAAGCATATAGCAAACATTTTATCAGAATAGAAAAGAAAAAATATTATCAGAGTATGTGATATCCCTCTAGATACAAAATTCATAGGCATATAACAAATATTTTCTAAATATGGGGTGATTATCAATTTCAGTATATCTATTGTTATGAGTTATATGAGTGATGCAATTTATGCATAATGATCTAGAATTCAAAAACCTGAAAGTTTGGTATGAAATATTGAGTGTTACAAAGTAAGAAACTATAGATTGAGGCTCGGGTAATAATAAGAAACTATGTGTGTCTAATAAAGTATGAAAAGTTTAGCAAAGTTTAAGGTTAGAATAGCCTATTAAAGTAGATAGTCCATAGTTAGTTAAATAACTTACCAATATATGTTGAGAAGGCAATATTAAATGTATGAAAAAAACAATCTTTATTGTGAATAAA